GTGATTCTCTGCTTTGAGGCTTAGTAGCTGAGATCACAAATGTATACCATGGTCCTGACTTATATTTATTTTTGTATTAAGCACTCTGACCGGCGCAGCTCCAATGAAACAGGAGACAGAAGACGCTTTTGTGGATGACAGTTAACTGCTAGTTTATTTACGCGGGCTCTGGTTTATATATTTGGCCGTGACCAATCACAGGCTGCCACAAGGAAGCAGGGCGGGAATGGGATGCAGGCTCTGGCTACTATATCCAGCTGTGGCCAATCAGGAGTTGCCACAGAGTACGGAGTGAGCGCGGGGTGCACACGGGTTGGCTAATTTAAAGAGGGACGTAGCGCATTGCGGAAGCTGGCGTGGTCCTTAGTCCCGGCTGGGGTATGGTATGTTGAGCGCCTGCGCCCAACATCTCCCCCTTTCTTTATAACTGATGCAGGGTCTCCAGAGGTCGGTGCCCCTCGTGAGGTGTCACGCTGCAGTCATGACAGTGCCTCACTACTCGTTGGTGCTCTTTTGGAGGGGGCGGGAGTATTGTTTTATGAGCCCAACCCACATGCTCACCGACATGGGGACCGGGGTGTCTCCTGGCCAAGGACGACACCCCCTGCGATGCTTTGCTCCACACCTGTGTCACAGCATGGTGAGCCATGCTGCCGGGCTTTGACCAGATTCCATGATCAGCAATGCTTGTTTGATACTTTGTCCCTATTCCTTTGTCTGCGAATCCGACAAAGCAGAAGTAGACTGCCAAATGCGGCAAGTGTAGTTATGGTAGCCAGAGCCCCTGTTCCTGCCCATTCCTTTATGAAAGCCAATTGGAGAGTTGGCCCGAGCTGGATCACAGGAAACTCGTCTGAGTCTGCCATAACTGGAATCGGTGTGAACTGGAGTACCTGCATAACAACAGCTGAAAGTGTACTGTTATCCCAACATTATAACATATAACAGGTTGCGGTGGAGCAATTTAGAAAAGTCATTGGCTGCAAGGACCGTACGAGATGCAAGAAGGAGGGGAAAAGGAGGCTACTAACCAGGGGAGTTGGCCAAGGTGCCATGGTTAATGGGAGTTGTGGGTGTACTTGCTTGGTCTGGTTTGTGAGGCTCCTGTTGGTTCTCCTGTTCTGTGGTTGACGTTTCCTCTGGGTCGGGGTCTGGTGGTTTGCAGGGACGTATCAGGCGTTCCGGGACCCAGACAGGTTCGCTGCCTTCTTCCTGCGGGAAGATACAGACCGCCCCTCTCGCCCAACTAAGTACTGGGCTGGGGCCTCTCCACACCTCATGCAGGAGGTCTTTCCAGCGTACCCAACCATGTTTGGGTGCGACAGGGTTGGCATGTAGCTGTGCTGGCGTGGATCCTTGTGGGTTGATGTTTACAAAATTGTAAGTGAAGAGGGCGAGATTTAGTCTGGCCCTAGGTGTCATGCCCTGGGCAATACCCTCCTTTTGTTTAAACAGAATAGACTTGAGGGTTTGATGAGGCCTAACTTTAATTGCTCTTGAATAAGTTTGGATGTGGCTTTTGTTTTGTCTCATGGTAGGGGCCGTCAACAATGGCAAGCCCCGACTCCTGCCAAGTTAACGAACTACACCTGGTGCTGACCCAGAGCAGCTGTGAGCTGCTTAATGAGGGGCATGGCTGTCTCTGTGTATCTAAAAATTTTTCCTGTCGCCTCCATCATGTGGGCCACAAAATCTGAAAAAGGCTCGCTCGCTCGGGCCCTGCAAAATTTTTGTCAAGTGGCCTGAGACTTCTCCCCTAGCCGAGACCCGTTTCTATGCTTGTATGGCTATTTTATTTATCTGTGTATATACCTCTTGTGGAAATATCAGCTGGTTATTGAGATATTGCCCTTGTCTTAATAACATATTTGCGTTCTAGGCGGCCTGATTGTTCTGGGTATTAGCTTGGGCCTGTTCTGTGGCAAGTTTAACATTTTAAGCTTTCTAATCAAGATATTGGCCTGGGCTGAGCACTGTCTTGCACAAACTGGCCCAATCAGCAGGTGTCATGGCATTTTCTGCCAGGGCTTCTACTAGGGACAGGGTATATGCCCCGTTAACACCGTACATGGTGCTGGCCTCCTTAAGATGCTTTATCGCCTTCATATCTATAGGCAGGTGGGCTCTGTTTCCCTGAGCATCTACAGCAACCGGAAAAGCCTGGAGAAAACGGCCCAGGCCTCCTGGGTCCTCTCTTTTGACTTGATGCCAAAGGTCTTCCTGGAATGTCCCAGGGGACGTCTGGACCCGTTGCGGACAGCTACATAGCTGATGGCAGGGTCTCCGGTGGGCGTGATAATCTGGCGGGTCGGGAGGTAGAGCCGTAGGTCTTATACGGGGTGGCCCTGGGATCCCGTACTCGCTTTCATTGACCCATTTACTCTGAGAAATCCTGTGTTGCAGCTCATTTATGGCCTCAGAGTAGGGCCCTCTCGACTGCGTGTGTGTGTGACTTCCCCTCTTTCGGTGGTGTCTGCATCCGCCATTTTGTATACTTCTCCTTCCTCCCCCTCATTATCTGACGAGTCCTTTGTTTCTGGGTTGGGTGGGGTCACCTCGCCTGCGGCACTGGACTCGCGAGATTGCTCACGGGAGGATTCTGCCTAATGGTAATCAAGCGCCATGGCGCCAGCCCTTATATGGTCACGACAAGAGGTGTCTGCGAGGCAGCTTCTCACTACAGCCCAAAGGGGTCTGACTCCTGGCTCCAGGAGGCCATTTTCTGCTGCAAAGTCAAGATCTCTCCCTAATTTATCCCAGCTGGGGATGGTAACGGACCCCATGGGACCAAACCAAGGTGCTACCTTATCGACCTGATCGAGGAAGTTTTGAATTTGTTCTCGTTTCATTTGTAATCCCTTTTCTTTCAGTAAGTCGCTTAAGGCGACTGACAGTGGCTGAGTAGCCGTGTTGCCCATGTTAACTGGAATTTCAAGAGTTTCTTTTTATTTTTATTTTTTTTTTCCTTTTTTTTTTTTTTTTTTTTTAATACAGGGACAGCTTAGTCCCCGCGCCCCTTTACGGCGCCCCCAAAACCGGCCTCTTTACGGCCCCCCGGAACTCTCTTTACGAGTTCCTGACCCTTGCGACGCGTCCGCCCAAGGTTGCCCGATAGCCCCCGCCATCCGGCCCTGTTGTGTAGCACCCGCTACCAACATTGAGCAGTTTAACCTGTCAGCCCCCGCCCGCCAAGTAGCCCCCGCTATTGGCGCTTGACGGTTTTACCTGTTAACGTCTCTGTTCCGTCTGAGAGAGAGGTTCGTTCCCCGTACTGTTGGAGAGAGGGTCTCAGCATCCCGGGCTCCCCGTACGGGCCACCAGTTGACCGGCGCAGCTCCAATGAAACAGGAGACAGAAGACGCTTTTGTGGACGACAGTTAACTGCTAGTTTATTTACGCGGGCTCTGGTTTATATATTTGGCCGTGACCAATCACAGGCTGCCACAAGGAAGCAGGGCGGGAATGAGATGCAGGCTCTGGCTACTATATCCAGCTGTGGCCAATCAGGAGTTGCCACAGAGTACGGAGTGAGCGCGGGGTGCACACGGGTTGGCTAATTTAAAGAGGGACGTAGCGCATTGCGGAAGCTGGCGTGGTCCTTAGTCCCGGCTGGGGTATGGTATGTTGAGCGCCTGCGCCCAACAGCACTCTTTTGCTTTTATTTATAGGACTCTCACGTGTTTCTAAACAATATAGTCTATTCTCATTTTTGCTTTCATATAAATTATACTGTATATATTTTTCACGACTTGCCATTTTTTGCTCAGCACTGTTTTTGAGATTCATCCATACTGATGAATATAGCCGTGATTTATGCATTTTCCATTACTGCATAAAATTCTGTTCAAAGTATATGAATACACCACAATCTATCCATCCTCCTATTGACAAGACACTTGGACTCTTTCCAATTACTCTACTGTAACAAATAATGCAATGGAGAGTTTGAAATGTAGCTTCTGGTGTACATACACAAAAGTTTCTTAAAGAGTAGAATTCCATATACATCTTCAAATGCCCCATTTTTCTTTCTGTTTTAATAATTGTTCCTAAGATTTCTTAATGACCATGTATTATCTCAGAAAGCATAAGCATTAAACTACATCCTGCTTGTCAAATATTACCAGAATTTGGGCCCACTTTTTGGCCCAAATTGTATACAATTCTGGAATATGAAATATTTTTTGTGCATCAGTCTTTGCTTCTTACGTCATTTTCTTATGAAAGAGTCCCAGAAGTGAATTGTCTTGAAAAAAAAAAGAACAATTTACCAAGTATACCAATTCACATTCAATGTGAGGTATTTTATTGATGAAAAAACCATGAAATAATTCCTGTCCAAAAAGCTGTTGAACCTTTTGGGATCATAAATCTTTTAGACTATGATTAAAGGTATAGATCTTCTTTCCAGAAAAAAATACAACACAAAAAACCCTAAAACGATTACATTTACAAACCAAACAACATACAATTTCAAGGCTTTCTCAGACTCTCTGAACCCCGTATGTTAATACTTTTTCTTGAATACAAATATTATTTTCCCTCTGGTCCATTCTGCATTGTTGTAACAAAATATCTGAGGCCAGGTACTTTATTTAGATCATGGTTCTGGAGATTCAAGAGCACAGTGCCAACATCTGCTGAGGTGAGGGTCTCATGGTGGATAGAAAGGCAATGGTGGGAATACATTTGAGAATGACAAGCAGCCCAGGTGGAAAATGGATTCAGAGGAGAGCCAGTGTCACAATAATCCACTTTTGGGGGACTTTCCGTGAGAGCAGGAGCATATTCCCTTGAGAAAAGCATCAATCCCTCTTAAGACCTAATCCCCTCTGGCTACAGCCCACTTCTTAAAGATTCTACCATCTCCCCACTGCCACATAGGACACAGGCCTCCAGCACACACCTCAGTGGGATAAAGCATAGCAGTCCCACCCACTGCATGTAAGATTTATTACTTCCCCAAACAAGTTCATATATCAACTCTTGTATCCAGTGCCTTTTCTTTTAAACTACTATTTAATGACCATCCACAATATACCAGCAATATGGCCAATATCAGAGATACAAACAAAAATGCTCCTGACTTCAGGAATACAGTATCCTGGGGGAAAGATAGATCTTTAAAACTATTTACAATGAAATATATGCAGAAACAGTGGTATTCATGAGGAGAAACGGAGGTACAAATTAAAGATTTATAAACTTCCCTTAAGTGATTATAAAGGATGAATAAACAATTTCAACAACTTTACAGGTAGAGGAAATAATATCACCAAAGGGTAAAAGACTTAATAAAACCCAGCATGAACAGAAAATAATACATCAGTTTAATACAGATTAGAATGGAAATGAACATGGAGAAGGGCTGAGACTCTTCCTTATTTGGAGCACAGATTAAAAAGACAATATTGCCAAATTTTAGCAGTTGGTCTGACAACACAAAGGAAACCATAGATTTCCTCTCAGATACTTCATTAATTACCCAAACCTTCTCTTAATATATACAAAGAAACATTTTGCCTTTTTTTTTGCAATTCACTGAAATGTGTTCAATTGAAGATATAAAATTTATTTATGTATTTATTTATTTATTTGGTACTGGGAATCAAACTCAGGACCTTGCACTTGTCAGGCAGGCACTTGTGCCACTGAACTATATCCCTGGCCCTTAGAATTTAAATTTAAAACCTATACAATCAAGCAACACATTTTCAATTGAGCATTGTTCATGGTTTTCATTTTGCAAGAAGTACTCTCTTGAAAAACATTTGGTTGGGCTGGAGATGTGGCTCAGTGATAAGAGTTCTTGTCTTGGATGCATATTTTGTTGTTTTTAATTTAACTCATTTTAAAAATACAACTAAGCATAATGATTACTTCAGTGTCACTGATTTAATTATAATAGAGCATGTGTAAACATGTTTTATATGGAAAATTAATGCAACCAATTTTGATAATGCTGTAGTAAATGTCTTAGACTTGAGCAAAAGTGTGAAAGAAATGATAGTCTTGGGGGCTGGGGATTTAGCTCAGCGGCATAAGCACCTGCCTTGCAAGTAGGCAGTCGTGAGTTTGATCCCCAGTACCGATAAAAATGAAAAAGACAAAAAAAAAAAAAAGAGAAAGAAATGATGGTCTTAACATTTTCTTCTTGGTGTTTATGCATTTATCTTTTTGTATATGCATTTACTTTCTCTTGAAATTTTAGTTTGTTTGGTTTCTAACACAATTCTGTTCCCTTAGGATAATACCCAATTCATATAAATCATGGAACTACATGTACACATATATAAGGTAAGATTATAAAGTTATAAAACCTATATTCCTGACAAGAAAAACCCATCTTTTAAAATCTAAATATGAATCAACTTAAGCTGAATAAACCAATTCAAGTTTACAATACTACTAGCACAAAGAAATGCTTGCCTTTTTTTCTTTTCCAAACCCTTGCAGTCTGTAGATGGTGTTCCATTAAATATTGCACAGCTTTATGAAAATAAAAGATATTCAAAGCATACTTTAAAAAATAAAAAATACGTACTCTCACTATAGTTTACCTAATAAACACATAGCACATGATTCGCTTCCAGCTTTATATTAAAGAAAAGAGTATTTCCATGTGAGGAAAACATCCAAAAGAAATAATTTTTCTCTATAAAATTTTCATGGAAATCCCAATGGACTTCATAGGCGACAGGCAAAAACATCAGTAAGCATACAGATCAATGTTTTATTCTGGGAATTTTGTTTGTTTGAAGAGAAGGAATATTCTTCAAGTGATATCTTTCCCCCAAGTGGGAAACATTCTTTAAATAAACTTAAAATGTATGGTTACTACGTAAAGCATTTGAAGGCTTTCATGAAATGAGTTGATAATAAATGACCATATGTGTGTGTGTGTATTTCTAACAATTCTAGCCACATAAGAAAGTAAAACAACACAGCTACAATAGGTACAAATTATATACATTTATTAATAATTTTAAATAACACTCTTGTATAAATTCTTTCATATATTCAAATCATACACAAATTTAGAAATGTATCATGAAGCCTAGTACAGCATAGGTATGAGACATGTTTTTAAAATTTGTGTTAGGATTTTAGTGATATAAATACAAGTTTAATGTTTCAAAAACATATTCTTAATTGCTTGGGCTGAAATTTAACTTAATACAGAGTGCTTGTGCTGAAATTTAACTTACTACAGAGTGCTTGTGCCTAGCATTAACACTTCACTTAAAATCAGTTAGTCTTTGAACTAACAAATCTGAAGCCCTGGGCTCACATTCTATGGCTGCTGATGTAGTTATTGCCTATGCATAAATAATAAGATTCTCAACTGCCTTGGAAAAGGCATCATTCAACCACTGAAGTTCTAATGATTCATAACTTTTAATCCACTTTGTATTATATGACCTCTCCAGATGAATCAGTGTGTTCTTCCTGCTTTCCATGTCACAATCACTGGCTCAGGGATAAAGAGAAAAATGAATTAACCTTCTATTACCCCCGCACACATACACCAAACCCATTTTAACTTCCAAATTCCCTACTAACAAGATCACGAGAGATCAAAGATTCTTTGTGACTGAAGCCAGAAAGACTTTCTTTGCTCTAATAGGTTATACTGTGTTACTTTTTTCTTCTCTGAGCATTCTGTCAGAGACGTTTTACTGAGATGCAGAAATTGAACCCCTCCTCACATACCTCAAAATATAAGAACCAGGGAATAGTCAGTGTAAGTGGTATTATGCTCACCAGGTATCCTATAAAAAGAATGGGACCAATGGGAAATGATCTGATAACCCAGTTTCAATTAAGCCTGCCAAGGGAAGTCCATTGCTTAAGCTCCCTGCTTCCAAAACAACACAAGAAAGGCTAATGTCTTACAGGCATTCAGCTGACAAAAATAAACTAGTAGGTCAGTGAGTATTGTTTTTAATGGTTAATTACTCTAGGAAAACTGACACTTACACAAATACTGTAAAAAAAAATCTTTTTTTCCCATTCCATGTCTGATCTGTTCTCCTCTCTCAGTATCTGGGTATCCTGGGAGAAAATTATACACTAGGTCCATAGGAGTTTCTATTATCATTTTGTTCTCTAAAGTTGGAGGAATTCCATAATAACAAAGCCCTAGAGGTAGAGTGGATAAACGGAGGAGGAGGTAAGGAAGGCAAAGACATACCGAACAACACTTCCTAAGCATCTAACTTTCACAAATGCCTAAGGGCTTACTCAAACAAGTTAATGAAGATAGAAGTATTACTGATAGTAGTACTGTGTTTTATTCTTCAATAAAGATTCACATTGGCCTTTTTTTTTAAAACAATACATTTCTAATCCTTAGACAGAAATTCTTCTAATACTAGGATTTCTATACCAGGTGATAGGATCCTATTATTGGACACCATAGTTCATGTGAATTTTAGAAGAATAAATATTGTGCAGCATCTTTCACACCTGTTTTTCTAGTCTGATTTCAGTGGTACATAAATTTATAATTGATTTCCATTTTAAAGCAAAATAATTCCCACAAGAAAAACCCTACCTTGTTAAAGAATATCATTCAAAACAAGTTTTAAGCCTTTAATTTTTCTTCCATTATAAAAAATTAAGACCATGAGGTGGGAACTGTTAAATAATGTGTAAAGGTAAATACAGTCTTTGTGGTTCAATTTTTTTTGCAATTTCTTTAAAGGTCTAATTTCAAGGAATCTCTACATAGCGAGAATGCTATTTGACTTTGGCTCTTAAAACTCCAATACTTTTCTTCACTGGGTTAACTTCTGTCTAACAAACATTCATTCCTTATCAGCCTCAATTCAATCCTGATTTTTCAGGGAGAAAGGCAGGTATGCACTTTTCACAATCCCCTGGAATTTTGCAGTGCACAGTTTATACTTAGCTATGTAGCAATTGCTAAGGAAAGAAAAGTTTTCCCCCCTAAAGAAATTAGTTCCCTTGAAGGAAACCCAAGCTGGCAGATTTGTTTTCTTGTCATGAATACTAGCTTTAGGTACTAAATCTCCTGTGTTCTTTCCACAAAATTCTTCGTAGATATCTGGCCCTGAATTATATGTTGGAGTGACAAAAAAACTTCCACAGATGGGGACTACTCCTCCTATTTGTGCTCATATATAGGCAAATTTTGCACTAGATATATAGTTAAAAGATCATGTGGTACAGAGTCGGGAGTACCGATTCTGAACCTATACGACACACATCATGCGGCCATGAGTAATATATTTAGACCTCTGTGCCTCAGTCTTCTCATCTATAATATGGTAGAACAATTACTTCCTCAGGGGTCTATGATGTGGAACAAAGAACATACATTCTGAACACTGACTTATAAACTACGAAAGGCGATAGAAGTGCTAATAATTTTAATATAACATAACGTCTACACTTGTGAGCAATGACCCGGACCCTCAGGTTACCAGAAATAAATTATCTGCCTATATATTCTCTAGAACAGCATCCAAACCCTGAGAGCAATTTAAGGGTCTCCTACAAAGGACGAGAAAGTTTAGGCTTTTCTCTGAGGAAGTTAGACCAAGGGGTCAACTTGGATTTCTAGGTCTAATCCAGGAAGAAGTTTTCATTTTTTTCTAACCACTTAAATTTGTTATTCCTCCTAATAAATAATCTATTATGGACTTCTGGCCACCTTTCTTGGCTTGCTTAATCCACAGTTCTCTCAATATAATAGATGAGAGCAAGAATGCTTGATTTTTAAGGAGAGACTGAAAGTAAAACCATGAAGCAACTATAGGTCCTCAGCTACAAAGCTACTGCAAGAAAGAAGCCAACAGGAGAGCGATAGCACTGCAGAGAGACAGAACAGACCTCGCGGCAAATAAGTGATAGACTATGATCAAATGTAGGAGGGTTCCTGTTTCGGAACAGAGGTGGCAAAGACATAAACATTTCACAGGTATGAAAATTAGATGTCCCAAGTGGTATGATGGCTTTTCTTTTGGAGCTCAAAGATTTCTATCCTTTGGAAGACTATCTTTTACATTCAAGAAAAAATATTTTAACAAGGATATGTTTCATATTAATCTATGTAAAATATATAGAGTGGCCAATATTTAATTAGATGAGTATTTTAGAGAATGCAGCCTGTGCCCCAGCTTAACAATTACTGACTTCAAAATCTATTGCTTGAATCTACAGTAAATCAAAGAGCACATACCTCTACTTTTACATTGAGAAAGGATTAGAAATATTCAACCACTTACAAATTTTAACAGTGTCCAAAGAGGGACTAAAAATGATGGATGCTCACCAGAGTCCCAGCTCTAGCAATATTGCCATCTGTTTTACAGTATTTTAACCAATCTCCATATTTTCTTTTTACACCATTAACTGCTGTACAAATAAATTCTAGATGATAAAATATGACAAGTTTTTTTACAAATAGATTACAGATACAATGTTGACCAGATATGCTACATTAACTATGTACATCTTATTTCTTTAGAGGCAGAAATGCTCCTTATTTTTAGACAATTTATCATTTACACTGAGCCCCTGAGGAGGACCTTCAGCTTCCTGCTCCCCCAGTGCTGCCTTCTGCTCTCGACTGTGAGTTTATTCTATGCTTTAATTCTGTCTCTGAGCAAGAATTCTAGGAGGAAAGATCAAGCTTTCTAAGTCTTCTTGGGACTGTTCTGCACTTATTCCAGAAATAATCAAGATTGTTTATTATGATATAGCCTAGATATCAGCTTTTTCTTAATAATGTATACATTTTAGTACAGTAAAGTGAATATAATCCCTGACCCTCTTCAAAAAGAATGTGTTTCAGGAATGGAGATGGTCTTCCAGCAGTCCTTTGCCTTCCACATCCATCATCTTGGTACCACTGGTGAGATGAACACTCTCCAATAGTCTGTTCGGAGGTCAAAGTTGATTTGGGCAGCACTATGGAGTTCGGCCTTTCCATACTCCACATTTTGGTACAAAAATATACTTTACTTCAAGTCCTTAACAACAGTGAATACTTCTGATCTTCATGGGAAAACTAAGAGCATCAGATAGGCTAAGCACATTACGAATTTGTACCTGAAAATTTCAGGTACTATTTTTGCTTTTGCTTTCTCAGTGAACTGTACACAGGCTTTGTCTGGCTCAGGGGCCAAATCTGTCATGAAAAGCACTGTGGCTTAACAATCCAGGAGAACAGTTCTAGCTCCTTAGGCTTTGTAGTTATGTATGGGTGTCGTCAGGGTCAGTTGCCCATTGGGAGCCACTTCATTACCGTCATCTTCCAATAATCCTGACACATCGGCATTGGGAATGCTGTCATGATAGCTGCTGAAACTGATATTGTCTTCTTTTAGCTCGATGGTCCAAAAAGGGGCATTGAGTTTCCGGTTTTGATACTCACGGTACATATATACAGCTCCCACAAATCCCATTAACAGTACGACCACAATGATAATGACTGTCAAAATGATGATGTTAAATTGAGTCCATGACACATCAGCTAAAGCTGACGTGCTGTTTTCAGAAGTGCTTACTGAAAAGATAGTCTGCAGGGTTGTGGGGGTAAATGTATTATTTATAACAGGGGTGGACACTGATGTGGTCAAAGAGGCATTGGAAACCAAAATGGTAGAACCTTCAGGTGTTGGAACAATAACTTCTGAAAATAAAAACAGAGAATGAAATGTAAAAGACAAAATTATCTAGTTTTGAGAAACAAAGAAATACACATGGGAGTGGAAGTTGATATGGGATGTTGACATGGTACTCTGCTTTACGGTAAGGGAAGTTAAAAATAATTTTTAAAAATATAGTGATAATAATCAAGGTCTAGAAAATCAGCCTATCATATCCAGGGCTGTTTAATGATATGTATAAAATCTATACTAAAATATTTGAGAAAATTCCATTGTTAGAGTTTTCCATCTTCTTCCCCTTATAGATAGTCATAAAAATTCCTGCAAAGGTAGTAAAAATGTCACTATTAAGTTCTTAATCACATGGTTGAAAGTGACAGGGATAGATGGCAGTCATTTGAACTAAAATAGTCCAACATGTTTCATGTCATTTCATAAAAGGTAAATTCTCCTCAAAAGAGATGTAAGGAAAACTATATCTTTAGCTTCATCTGAAAAATACAATTTAAAGCCTCAAAGCTGATGTCAGCCAAGAGAAAAAGTAGCTCTCCTTCATTTATGTGTGTAGTAATTCTTCTTTTGTGTGATTATAGCTATTTTATAATTAAAGTACTATACTTTTTACTTCTAATGATGGTGCAGCTCAGTGGAATGACTAAAGGCTTTAGATTCAACTGGGTGCTACAGATAATTCAATCTTTTTAAAACTCAGTTTCTTCAACTGTTAAATGAGAATAATAATGTCTACTTGGCAGAATTCTCATGAAGAACTCAATGAGCTAACGCACTATACAGCATTATCACAATTGATTCTTACAGTGGTTGGAATATAGTAGCCACTCAATGAAATTATTATATTATTATTATTTACCACCACTGTCAGCCAAATCAATTTCTCCTAAAGAGAGGCAAAGTTTACATTACCTAATAACTAACAAAAATCATCGCAGTCCCATCAAAGGCCAAGGTATGCCTTGGTATAGATAAGAGAGCCTCCCAAATGGGAAAAATAATTGAGTGATGGGACTGCACTAGTGATAGGGTTCAATCTAAGTCTTTTAGCCTTGATCACAACAGCATAGGGATATCAAGAAAATGGCACCTGTCATAGGCCAAATGGAGTTTAATATTGGCCTTATAGTTATCAAAAAGTGGTTTGTAAAAGAGAATGGTCCAATCTTTCTATAACCTAATGATTTCTAAATATATAGTACATAACTCATCCTGAATTTATAATCATTAATTTCTTATAAATTCCTACTGAACTTCCCTATAAGAAGTACTTTGAGTAATTTTCTCTTTTAAAAATCAAAAAGAATATTAACATTTTTGCCATCACACGTGGAGCAACTTAGTCCCAAAGTCAAGAAAGATGTTGGAAAGAACTCCACTTTTTCAGTTGGGACTTCCAACCAGACTATAGGACCCTTACTTCAAAAGACCTTTGATGTCACTGAAAGTGATGAGAATAAAGGAAGCAGAAGATAAAAGAAATGACAGGACTTTTTAGTTATTAACATAAAAATAAAAATAGATGAAGGAAAAATTTGAGAACACTTAGTCTCACTGTTGTAATGACTTTGTCTTGATCCTCAAATTTCTGGAGTTGACTTTGGAGTATCAGGAGACAAGTAGAAAGGAAAAGAAACCTCTTTAGGCAAATATCTATCAAAATCTATTTCCAGAAACTCCTTTGCTGGGATTAGAAGGTTTTTACAAAGTTAAAGGTGGCCATCCTGAAATTTTTCAGTGCTAGGCTTAGATATTAAATTTACAATCATAGGTGAAGTTTTACCTTTCTTGATGCAATTTCTCTCGAGGTCTTGAACATAACCTTCTAGGCAGTTCTCACACCAAAACCCAGTGGTGTTATGGAGGCAATTGATGCACTCACCACTCTCAGGCTTACAAATCTTTGGAGTTTTATTTGGGTCCACATGGCCATGACATTGGCATGGTATACAGATGCTGTCAGAATTGTAATAGCCATTTTCACATTTATTGCAGTTCTGGCCTGTATAACCATCTTTACACTGGACACACCTAGGTTCCAATTCATCCAATTCTAAAAAAGAGAGAACATTAAAATAACTCTGAAATTCTCAAATATAATTAAAAATACAAAAACAATTATTAGTTCCCATATAGACTTGTTATCCTTCCTCCCGTCTCCTCTCAGTGGTAAGAGACATGAAAATGAACTAATATGTCCTATATTTCTCAGCTTACTGTAGGAATGATGGAGCCATCCACACAACCTATTCTTGCAGAAGGTAAAACAAAAACATGCTTACATCAGGAGACCAAACAATTGTGATAAACTGGTATTCTCATACTTTCTTTATTCCTTCTTTTTGGGACATGACAGGTCGAATAAGCTAAGTCTTAACAAAAACTTCCTCTATCCCTGTGGAAAGGCTGATAATCCCAGACTTCTATCCTTGGTCTCCTTCACTTCTCATTCTATTCATTCTCTGAGAGTGAGCTCATCTACTTACAAGGTTGGCAATTTTAAAATACGTATGCCTACTCTATTTCTCTGTCTTTAATTCCAAATTACACATTAATTTCCTGTGCCTTTGGATCCACAAGCAGCTCAAATTTAGTAAGAATGATACTGTCCTCGATATTCACTATTTTCAACTCCTGTCCACCACCAATGTTCCATGTATCTGAACATTTTGCCTACTTGCCTGAGCCAAACAACTAAGAACCATCTATCTCCCTTTTCCTTCTCCTCCTCTATACAGTTACCAATTAATACCAATCTTCATATTAATCCTGCCTTATTAAGATCTTTCCAATCTTCTGATGCCTCTCTCCATGCCCACTACAGTGGTCTTCGTTTACATCTTCATCATGTCTCACCTCTATTACTGTAGCTACCTCCTAATAAGTCTCTCTGTCACACTGAATCTACATTCATTATGATCTTCAGGGTAAATCTGAGCCTATTACTTCTCTAGAGAAAGCGCTTCAATCCCAGTGCCTTCAGGATGAAGCGAAAACTTAATAGAATTGTCACTGTCTTTCATAATTTGGCCCCTACCTGTCTCCCAACTCCTCTCACCTCACTTTCCACAACACTCTCTGATGGAAGCGTATTAAAAGGCTCATGAATACTCTCAAAGACTGCCTGTTCTTTCCTCTTCGAGCTTTTGCACATACTGCTTCATCTACATGGAACATCCTCTCACCTTCCTACTCCTATTTTACCTCACAAATTCAAACTGCAGTAGTTTACTCAGGTATCACCTTTTCTCAGGATCATAAAAGATTGTGCTTAATTCCCTCAGTTTGGGCTGGGGCTAATTTGTGCTTACCCATAGCATGCATCATTCTAAATTGTAATTATCTGATCATTTGTCTCTCCCATTAAATTATGAGCTATTTATTTTCCATCTTTCTCTCTAATGTTTGACATAGTGCTGGACACATAGTGCATGTTTATGATTTGACCATAGGTAGAGAAAGCATACCAATTCACACCTATGTGTTTCTTTTTTAAACTGTCATGCAATTCTAATGCAAGAATCTCCATTAGATGATTTTTAAATAATCAACAAATCATAATTTTGTTTTTCTGCTAAATTAATGTGTTCCTTTCTTAGGATATGCTAATTATGTTAATAGAATCATGCTTTTATCTGAACATGGAATCATTTTATTACAGGATTCATTTATAGTGATCATGAAATTTGTGGTAATTTGCTACATCTCTGATACTCTTTATGAAAAATGAATTCTTGTTTTATTTTTTTAAAAACACTTCTGATACATAAAATACTACAAATTATTAAACAACTTGAAGTATAGAACTCAATTTTTAAAGCATATTCACAGAATTGCACAACTTATAAGGAATTTCAATTTACAATTTATAATCCTAGTCGGTAGTGTGATGTCAAGTTACAAAACTCTGCCCCTACAATTTTCCATATTTCCCTTCAATGTTTTTTTTTTTTTTCTTTTTACTGGTACCTGGAATCAAACTCACGACTATGCGCTTGCAATGCAGACACTTATGCCGCTGAGCTAAATCCCCAGCCCCTCAATTTTCCATATTTCAAATAAGTCGTTTAAGTTGCTTTTAGCCACTAAATGTGAAAGTTGAATGAATTCATAACTCATGCAGACAACGATCTACAGAAAAACTCAATGAAATGCATATATATTCTGGATTCTCAAAGAACACATAGCTCACAGAGATGTTATATTTTACAGCATTTTCCCACTTCAACAACATAGTTATAAAAACTATGCCAAAAAAATCCTGATGGGATAGATTGAAGTACTAAAATCAAGGTTTGTGAAAACCTTTGTCTATCAAGTCATACCAACTGGATCTCATGATTAGATTCAAAAGCCCTATTTCATGTTTCATTTCTTCTCCTTGTTTGATTGATTGTTTTGTTTTTTGATACAAGGTCTCATTATATAGTTCAGAGTGGCCTTGAACTTGAGAATATAGGAACAATTGCTCATGGTTATAGGGTTTTGTTTTGTTTCTTGTTCTGAAGAATTTTTTGATGGAAGGAGGTGATTAAAATGTTCCAAACCTCATTGTGTTGATGGCTGTGTAATACTGAATACACACTAAACCACTTAATTCTACATTTAGAATAAGTTACATGCAATGTAAACTATATCTCAATAAATGTGCTATTTAAAATGGAATGGGGGGCTGGTGTGGTGATGCATGTCTGTAATTCTAGCACTCAGGAGGCTGAGGCAGGAAGATCACCATTCTTGGCCTGAAACACAGCGAGTTGAAGGTGAGCCTGAGTTGTATAATGAAGCCCTGTCCACTTCTCTCAAAAGGAATAGAATAGAAAGAAGAATCCAACTAGGACTGCTCAGCTAAACTTTCCCAAAATTTCTAGCACAAAATATGTGAAATTATAAACACTTATTTTTTTTTTTAAATCGGTACCAGGGATCGAACTCATGACTCCGTGCTTGCAAGGCAGGCGCTCATGCTGCTGAGCTAAATACCCAGCCCCAATACTTATTGTTTTAAGCCACTTAATATTACGGTAATTGCTTATGAGCGACAGATAACTATAATGCCAGGAATAAATGACAGTTACCTGTCTTTGTAAGATTACTATGTAGATATTACTGCTCAGCATTATTAAGTACCATGGAAGAACTAGTGAAAGTTACCTTGAAACAGATGAGCCAAAGTTGCTCAGTCCTGAAGTTCCCATATTGACTCACTGTGTAGGCCTTTAGATATTTTAAGTCTCATTTCTCATATGTATTTGGATTAGTATATAAATTCCTAGAAAGGAAAACTTTCGCTGTTTTCATACCTCCCTTTCATCTATAGCACTTGGATTTTGATTCAGCAATGCAATTCATAACTTTTTTTTTTTCGGTACCGGGGATCAAACTCACGACTGCCTGCTTGCAAGGCAGGTGCTTATTCCACTGAGCTAAATCCCCAGCCCCAATTAACTATTAATGAAGGATTCCCTGATTTGACTCAAAAATGAAGATTTAGAGAATGCTTTTACCTATGATGCAATTGCCTGTAGATGTCACTGCTGAACAAGGACAGCGAAGACATTCTTTACTGGCATAAGGACTTTGATAAAATCCTTCTTCACATTCTTCACAGTGATCCCCTTTGCTATTTTCCTGGCAGTTTAAACAAACACCTAAAAAATAAAACAAGTAAGTTATTTTTAAATTTAATACTTACTCTGAAAACATAGTAATTCTCAAAAATTAAGCCTACAATAAACAGACCATAAGAGTTAATCACACACACAATAAAAACATTTTAGCGATGGGTTAGAATTCAGTTTCTACCCACATTGTTTCTACACTAGCCATGTCTATGAGTTCAGTGTCCTCTTACAAGACAGTAAGGGAAAGGTTGGGCACACAATTAGTCACAATGTGCTTCTTTTGGTCAGTTGACTACATACTGAAATCATGCCAAACATGAGCAAAAAAAAAAAAAATACAACAGTCTAAATATCTATTAATTGAAGAATGGATAAATTGAGGCATTTTCATAGTTTGGGTACTTTGTTAAATAAGTGAGCTAAACCTATGTGCACAAACATGTATGTCTTAAAAACAACATGAGCTGAAAAGGAAAACTGCAGAATGGCACATACTGAAGGAGATTTGTAAAACCTTAAAAGCACACTAAGCGATACTAAACAAATGGATCTATAATATTCTAAGCCAAATTGCTACATACACAGAGGGTTTATCGAACTATACAGAGAATGTTTAAATTTTTAAAAATTTATTACTGTAAAAGGCACATTACCATTTTTCCTTCTCAAAACACTCTTCCTTGCTTTGAACACTTATCCCACCATTCTCTGTCACTTGCTGAAGCAGTTCTCTAAGTCCTCTTTTATGAGTGTCTTTACAAGGCATGAGCAAAAATACAGTGAATGTTGCTGTCAAGAGTACACAATGGAAATGTAGACTCATAAAAGCATTATGGTCCATTTTTATCCATCTTATTCACCAGATTTGCCATCATGTGACTTCTATCTTTTCCCCAAAGTCAAAATAATCATTAAAGTAAAAGTTTTGAATGATTGCAGGGTATCAAGGTAACCATGACAGTACAACTAAAAACACTCATAGAAGAAGACTTTTGGAACTGCTTCAGAAAGTGGCAAGAACAATGGGATACATGTGTTTAAGCAAAGGGGAATATTTTACGGGACATTAATGGCAATGTGTCGTTTAGTGTAACAGATTTTTAAGATTACATATCTACTATAATTTTTTCCTATCACACTTTCATAAATTAAAAATTTAAATGTGGACTGAGAAGGTACAGGAGAATTTCATGCTCTCCTTATGTTACAACTTGTATCTAGATGTCTCCCCAAAACCTCATGCACCCATAGGTAGGGCATTTTAGAGCTGGCTGGATCTAGGGTGTGTGATTCTTGGTTTAAGGGTATGTGGTATACTAAATCAGTCTACTGATTAGTTTAGTGTAGCTCTGGGTATGGGAAATGGAAAGGCCCACCTGGGTGCAGGGTGCACCAATCAACAGGTTGACAGTTTGGTTGGAACACAAAGGGAGAGTGGGAAGGCAGGCTTGCTTGCTCTTCTTGTTGCTCCCTATCTGCCTGGCTGTGAGCTGTTTCTCCTCTGCCATGCCCCTGTGCCATGCTGCGCTGCTACAGACAACTATGAATAGAAACCTCTAGAAACTGTGAGCTGAGATAAATCTTTCCTATTTTAACTTTGGGTGTCAGTTATTTTGTCTCAGCAACAAGAAAAGTAACTAAGACAGCTTGTCTCCAGAAGAAAGGAGAAAAATGAGACTAAGGACGGAAAAAAAGAAGACTCCAACTTTATATTAAATTTCCTCTTTCAAATATATAGCCATACATACATATGTATAAATATAAATCAAACAGAAAATGTTAATATGTATTATTTGTATTATTTTTGTGTGAGTAGATGAGTATTCATTATATTATTCTCCATAGGTTTTTATATTTATAATTTCAAAATAAAACAATCAACAAAGAATGAAAAGAAAGAAGCAAATAAAGTTATGTTTTGTAGTACCAACTCCTTTGAGACTGTTAATAAAGATGTTCTATAGACACTGAGGAAGCATAACATTGAAAACAGAAACTAAGATATGTTCTTCTTTTGGGGTGCTACAGAAATTCAAGCGAACATTTAGAAATACTATCACAAAAGTAAGGAGAATGAGGCTGTGGTAGAACAGCTGGAGCAAGATTTTTAAAAAACAGGCAAATGTTATTAACACACAAGTTAAAACCTCAATTTTTAGGTAATTATACAAAATTTCCCAAAATTCAATGAATTTCCTTCAAGTCACCAAAAGTTTATACAAAATTTCCCAAAATTCAATGAATTTCCTTCAAATCACCAAAAGTTTATTATCTGAACATACATCTGATTTAAACCAACTTGGCATGTGAATAGCATCACTGTAAATCACATATGGGTCTTTTTGAGACGGGGTGTCTCTATGCAGTTCAGGCTGGCCCTGAGCTTACATTGTAGCCCAGGCTGGTCTCACACTTGCAATGATCCGCCTGCCTCAGCCTCCTAAGTGCTGGGATTACAGGTATGTGCCACCACATGCAGTTTAAATCATATAATCTTAAGACCTGATAGTGTTAATATTTTTCACATATAAAAAATTGGTTTATACTCAAATAACATTGAAAACTTTAGGTACAGTTTATTTTTTCCCAGATCTTATATCTTGATCCTTCAGCTATGTACTTTGTGACAGTAAAAATAACTCAAAAATACATCCTGGCAAAATGGTTTTGGCTCTAAAAATAAACAATATCAAAGCATTCTGCAGATATTTAAGAAAAGTTAAAACCTGTGTCACATGCAAAATCTGTCTTACTGCTCTCTCTCTAAAGTGTTCAATGGAATAATTTTTAAGAGAAAAGGTTCTCATAAAATGCTAAACTTTAATAGAAAACAATCTCAAAAAAGATAAACATCTCTGGAACAGATTTTCAATATCTGAGGTAAATAAGATATAGTCCAATAATAAGTCCTTTATGCATGATCTGACAAGAAAAGGTCATGTTGGCCCCCCCTACTTAAAAATGATAACATATATGTATTTTAATATTTTATTTCTTGTAATGTTAACAGGCCTATATGATTATTTGGGGGAGGCTTTTAACTATTCTAGATAAGATCCTCGGCCTTTGAGATTATTCCTATATAATTTCATTCTCTTAAACCATTTATATCAGCATAATTTAAATTTTTTCCAGAACTTCTTATTGCAATTTGTTTTATACGATACCTTATAATGACAAGTCAGTAAAGCAAACAAACAACAACAAAACCTGCAAAGCAAGTATGCTCTTAAAATGAAAGCAAATATAAGAATAAAACTCATCAGTTCTAAAATACTCCTCACCTTTTACTTCCTTTAATGATAGCAAATACCTGAATACAGCTATAGAAAAATAATATTAATAAAGACATTAATATGTCAGAATGTTAATGACAGCTGTGGAAAGCAATAGTCCTTTCAGTGTTTTTCCTATCTCTGATTCTTAAATTATTTCCAGTATACATACATCACTTATTTTTATTATCTTGATTTTTTTTCTCAGTACAAAATTAACACATTAAAATTATATCACATGTCGTTATGGTTTGGTCTTAAATGTCCCCCCAAAATTCAGGTATTGAAGGTGTGGTCCCCAGCTGATAGTGCAGTTAGGAAGCTGTAGAAACATTAGGAGGTAGAGCTAGTCAGAGGAAGTAGACTGCTGGGGGGTGTAGCATTTAAGGGTCCCCACTTCCTTACTGTCACCCCTCTCCTTCTTTGTCAACATGGTTGAGCAGCTTTTACAATGTCATACATACTGTTTTATAATATTCTGCCTTAACATAGGGCCAAAATGATGGGGCCAAGTGACCATGCACTGAAACCATGCAAATCAGAATAAATCTCTCAGAGCTGGGTATGGTGGTGCACACCTGAAATCCCAGCATTTGGGAGGCTGAGGCAAAAAGATCATTGAGAGTTCAAGGCCAGCCTGGTCTACATAACAAGATCCCATCTCAAACAAACAACAGCAAAAATACCTTTCTCCCATGCAAAATTGACTATCTCAGGTATTTTGTTACAACAGAAAGCTAATACAAATGTATGTTGCAAAATATTTCAAAAATTCAAGCAATTAAAAACATTTCATGGGGCTGGGGATTTAGCTCAGCCGCCTAAGTGCCTGCCTTGCAAGTGTGTGGTCGTGAGTTCAATCCTCAGTACAGATAAAAAAGAAAAAGACAAAAAAAAAAATTTCATGTAGAAAATTAAAGGTGATTAATAGCAAAACCTTTAAAATCCATATATACCAGAACTAATACGAATTCAATTTCTAATATGAACTGAAGTTCTAGGTTAAAAAAAAAAAAAGACCCCTCCCACCTCTGTTAGCCTTTTAGCAGCTTACAGCTTCTCCAAGAGCCAATACAGAATAAGAAACAGTATGAGGCTAAACATTAAATCTGAGTTCTGCTCCTGGCTGAACTCACCAACTATGTGATTTTAAGCAAATAGCTTCTCTGAGTTTCATTTTTCCAATCTGTGAAATGGGAAAATAATTTGTTGGGAAAGGATTTAATGTAGTCTGAATATTTCAAAGGTAAAAGACTATTCCATAGAACATAATGTTTTCTCCTTGTGCTTCAGTTTATTCATGCATAAATTTTTTAAAAATTAAATTAGATGAGCTTTAAGTTTTCTTTACATCTAATCTTGAGGAGCTTTCTTTTACAATAAATGACTTATAAAATTAGTTGAAGTTTAATGTTGTTCATTATGTTCTGCATGGGACTCCCTGGAAATTTAATAATAATGCCTCAAAATTCACATCCTCTTTGCTGAAAGATGGTTAAAGAGTAGATCACCAAAAATCATACAAAAACAAAATAATGAGGGACAAGAAGGAGGAATAATAATGAATGTTTTCTGAAATGATTTCATACTCTTTGGTTAAAGCATCTCAAAAATCTGGTAGGGGTAACCAAGAAAATAAGTGGTCAAAGAAAGGAATGTGGGGCTCCTTTCCAACCAAGTTCAAGGGCGAAGCTTTGAGAACATAATTTATCACCTATGAAAGGCTTTTCCTTATTCCTTATTTTGCCATTTCACAGTTTTTACATAATCCTTTCAGCAAAGCACTTTGTCATAGGAAGAAATGTCTGATCCTCTTTATAGGACAGAGGCAAACTTAAATCTGTCAAACAGAAAGAAGGCTGGCACAAACTGTAGGTGAAAAGGGGAGAGGGTAACAGGAGATAATGTCAGGAGAAAATGTATACATTTTATACAAAAATGTATAAAATCACACAGGCTGTGAAAAGAAACTTGAATTTTATTCCAAGATGGATGGCAAGCCATTGGAGGCCTTAAGCATGAGAATGTCATGATCTGGTTTTCAAAAGATCAATCTAGTTATGTTGAAACTGAACTGTGATAGGGTAAGAGTCAGGGGACAGAGAAACAGACAGGAGGTAGCAAGGTCAAAAGAGAGACTGGCTGAGTACTTCAAAGAGATGACGAAGCTGGACACGGACAATGCAACAAAGGTCATGACTTAGAGTTTATTTTGAAGATAACAGAACTTGCTACTGGGCTGGATATTTTCAGTAAGATAGAAAGGGAAATCAAACAGAACTCTTAGGCTTTGGAACTCAGCAGTGTGGTGAATGGTATTAGTTACAAAAATGAAGGACACTAGGGGAACGGCAAGCTTAGCTTTTAGGGCAAAATTGTTATTTCAGATATATTAGGTTTACAAGGCCAATTAGAGCATTCAAATAAAGTGGTTTGTTGCATATTAACAGAGAATAAGGGAGAAATGTAAAACTAATGGCATTTAAATTAATTCTAGGGGATTCAATGAAACCACTTAGGTGGGAAATATAAACAGAGAAGGCAAACTTATCAAGCTCTAAGGTTGGAGCCCACCAGTGCCTACAGCACAGCTGAGGAAGAGTCATGAGAACAAACTGAGAAGGGGAAGCTAGTGAAGTAGCAGAAAAGCAGGAATGTATGGTAGCCCAAAGAGAGAAAAGTCATCCAGAAGCAGAGGAGCAGTCAGCTCAGGTCAAGCTGCCAAGATCAAGTTACTCACACTATGAATACACAAAAGTGCCCTGAATTCTTAAAAAGAAATAAACCATATGACCATGAAGTTTTAGATTAAAAAATAATAGACCCTTTTCCACTTCTACTTTAAGAAAAATGTACTCAATAAACAAATCCAAAAAACACACAAAAGTAAATAAAAAATTACCCAAAAAATTGCTCATTAACATTTTGGAAATATGGGCATGGGGTTTAGCTCAGCTGCCCAAGAACCTGCTTGGTAAGCATGAGGTCGTGAGTTCATTTCCTAGTACCAAAACAAAAAACAAAAAACAACAAAAAAAAAAAACCAAGGATTTTGAAAATGTTTCCTTAAAATCTTTCCTTATTTATAGAGATTTGGGTTTTGTTATTTAAACAGTCTAATTATGTGGTACACATCATTTTAAACCCTGTTTCTTTCACCCTCTTGGGTAGTTTTACATCATTCTTTACAACATTTTAATGGGATTAGGGATGTAGCTCTGGATCTAATTCCCATTAAAATTAATTAATTTAGTTCTAATATTAAAAATTAATGACATCGTATTAGCAATTGCCACTTACTGACTGTATGATGAGCCAGGTACTTTCTTAGGGCTGCATAAATATATTGCATTTAATCTTCATAACAATTTATTAGGAAGGTTATTCTCAGAAGAGGTTCCTGAAAACATAATTGCTAGATCAAAGAAGCAAGTTTTAGGTCTTCTGATATTTACCATCAAACTGGTTTCCATCATGTTTTCCCCAATTTGTTTTACTGCAAAACGGAACACTTTGAAAATCAACTTCAGTCTAAAATAAAAGTTTTAATGGAGTCAGGCTTTACGGGGGAAAATAAGGAATATGAGTGGCCACCAGAGGGCAACCGTATCACAGCACTGTTGAAAAAAATTTCATTTGAGAAAAAAAGACAAATTCTACATGAGGCTTGTAGTTTTAAATTAAAGATTTGTACTCCATATTGGGTTTTACTTTCATTATATTTACAAACACAGGCATCGTTTGTTTCTTATACTATTACTGTTTTTAGAAATCACAATGAAAAGGGTTTCTTTTTGCCTTAAATTATTTCCACAGCAAGCACATGTTAGCATTTACTTAACAGTAGGAAGTGCTTTACTGCTGCAAGAAAAAATAAAAGCAAGCACCAGCAATGTCCACAGCTCTCCAGTACTATAAAAGATCTAGCGAGTGATTGAAATTTACTCAGTATGAAGAAGCATCCTAACATTGCCCAATGTCAACCCTTATCTTTCTTCTATACATTTTTCCATTTATTTGTTTTCCATTTATTTATTCAATGAACATTCAGTGAATACTTACTTTTGTCAAAATTCATATCAGACTTTATATATATATATTGGTAAACAAAACTGATATTGTTCCTGCCGTCATGGAATTTAAAATGCAGTGAGTCAGCCATGTATGACTCACATCTACAAATAAATACAATTAATAACTCTGATAGATGCCATGAAAAAATACAAGTGGATGTGAGCGCATGGAAATTTTCATATAGCACGGAAATAATTTGTAATCATCAGGAAATGATTTCTCATGAAGTGATCTTTAACTGAAGACCTGAAGGAAGAATATCACTTAAAAAGACACTTAAAAACAACCAATTCAAAAGACCAGACTAGGCCAAGGAAAGACCATGAGAGAGAATCTTGAAACAAGGGAACATAGCTTATTTTAGATATAAAAGACAGAGCACCTGGATCAGACAGTAAAAAAGGAACAATACAAGGTATAGTTAGAAGTTAGAGAATAGATTATATAAAAGAAAAAACCCACAATTTATTCTTAATCAATTTCCCTACATATGCTTCACTAGAGAGCAAATCAGAAGGAAGAGTAAGCTTTCAACACAGATTTTTTTTTTAAAAAGTACTTTAAATTTCAAATATTCTGCTACTCTGTTCTCATAAAAACACTTGTGCTTATTAAACTAGGGTATCCCGATTTTTTGGTTGGTGACAAAAAGATCTTCAAAAAAATATTTCTAATCTTTACACTTAGGAAAACTGAAGGTCAGAAATTGTCCTTAAGTCTGCCTAAATGTGGTTTTCTTTGTTTCAATGTTGATAGAGGTTCCCTGGGCTTTCTGAACCTGTAGATTGATACCTTTCATCAGTATGGAAAATTCTTGGCCATTATCTCTTCATATATTGCTTTGACCTAGTATCTCTTTCCTCCCTTTCTGGGCCTTCAATTACACTGTGGATTTTTTAATGTGTTCCACCTATCTTTCTTGATATGTTCTTGCCACTATTTTTGCTACATGCTTTAGTTAATCTATCAGGGGTTTTAGTATACATGCTGCCGAAGCGAGCACAATGTCCCAGGGATTGAACCCATATCCTTATAACTATTTGAGAAGAATCAACATATACAGAAAGACTTTAAAATGAAAAGAACAACAGAATAATTACATGACAAAATTAAGGAAAAACATACCTGTGAGAACATCACAGCTGGCAGACCGATTATTGCACTGGCAGGGCAAGCAACCATTCTTACTAAAGCCATAATATCCATCTTGGCATTGATTACACGTAGAGCCTGTGACACCCACTCTGCACTGGCAATTCCCAGAACTGCAAATAAAAGCAAAAACAGTAGACAAAAGTGAGCCAGTTTGATTAGACATGATCCTACTGTAGCAAAGGTTCCTAGAAGTATGAATGATTTTTATTTAATTGGAAGTTGAAAAGCTTCATGACTATAATTCAGCCACCATGGTACTAATACTAATCTCTGCAACTATTTAATCCTCTGTACTTTGGTAGTCTAAAATAAGTGATAAAAGATCCATGGAGAGAAGTTCCCAGTGCTTAGAAATCTTTTTTATTAAGCAGTGGAACATAGAACTCATATCATTGCATATTTCTTTCCTGAATTATCTCACCATTTTATCAGCATCCATTCTAATCTGGAGAAAAGAAGAAACATTATGTAGCCCTCATCAAGCTTCTGGCTGAAGAATATGAAGACGACAGTCACATCGATTTAGATGCTAAAAATTGATATTATTCCTTATTTTGTGCCTGAGATGTACTTAAATCAATTTTGGTAGCTAAGCTAAATATGGTAAAATGAGAACGTCTAAATCCATATAAAAATTCTACCCTCCAAGAAAAAGGCTAAAATTCTAAAGAAAAATATATTTACCACTCCATCTATTTCTATTTATTTTCTCTTCATAGATATCCATTATAACAATGATGCCATTCCTCTCCATTCACTAAACCTTTAGTGCCACTTTCAATTCCTCTATTCTTATATGAAAATTCATTCATATGCAATAAATTACCAATTTTTGTTGATTATTCTTTCAAATATTTCTTAGTATTGTTATTTTTCCTATGATCATTCTTAATATGACATCTTTTCTCTTCCTTACCTCTAAAATTTTTTCTGCTTTCTCCGTGAAATTTTGATCTATCTGGTCCACAGAAATCTTTTGGCTTTTTGACCTCCTAGTCTCTATATCAGACTTGTGTTGTTCAATATTCTTTTAATATGTAAGTTTTGTTTTCCTAATCAGACTTTAAGTGTTCTGAAACAAAGGTCATATCATAGAGTTTTCTGTCTTTAATGTACCAGGGATTTAATGTACCTATCACAATTATAGGAGCTACATACTGTAAAAATCTTTTTCATGTCATATACTTTACTACATAAGTTTTCTTAGTCCAGAGGCCATACTTTAGAGAGCTTGCTATCTACAGAAAGGAAATAAAAGTATATGTCTAGTTTGCTGTAGGCTCTTAATGAATGTTTGACAAATAATATATGCACAAACTAAGCCACAAGTGGGGGATATGCCTGTAAGGATCAAGAGAACTTTTGAGGCTGAAACAGGAGGACTGAAAGTTTAAGTCCCACTAGGAAATACAACAAGATTCTGTCTCAAAAAAATTTTTTTAAAGCTGAGGGTGTAGCTCAATGCAAACGCCCTGGATTCCATCCTAAATACTCCAAAGACAAAAGAATCAAACAAACAGAAAAGACCACAAAGTAAATTTGAGAAGTAAACACTGAAAGAGAAGAAAACAAAATGAAAGACAACACTAATACTAGGGTTTTGACTAAAACACACACACACACAATTTAGGGCTGGGCTAGTTAGGCCTCACTACTCATGTTGAAATTACACTCAACTTTATTTATTTTATGGTTTTGTTTTGTTTTGTTTTGTTTACTTGGAGATGGGACCCAGGGCCTTGTGCATACAAGACAAATGCTCTACCACTGAGTCCTAGCCTATGATCTCTGTTTATAAGCTCATCTTCAACCTCAAAATTTTGTATTTATGAATAGATTTTGGCACCAGTCATGCCAGATGGGGGACAATTTAAGGTAAAACACCTGTTTAACATAATTTTCTTAGGTATTCGGTTTCTTTTTTTTTTATTTAAAGAAAACAAAACAAAACAGTAAAAGGGTACAAGGGTATTTTTTTGAAAAACAATTTCAAAAAAATAAACAGTAAGAAATCACTAGTTAATAGATTACAAATTGTCATCTTAGAAATAGTTGATCAAGTTACAAAATTAAGCATACAAAGTGGACATTCAAACAGTGAGACTGCAAACAGTTGTGTTCAATGATCCAACAAAAACTTAGTAATATGGTCATCTGTCTTACATACCTAAACACACTGTAAAAAACCAAAATGTGTAAATGTTAATTGTAAAAAACAGAGGAAAAGAAAGTGCTCTTCAGGTATTCGGCTTCTTAACAATGAGCTCCTGTAGAACTGCTCATTTAGCTCAGGAGGCCAAGCTAAAACTAATGCTTATACGCATCAATTAAAGCAATCCTCTATTTATTACCTTCTCTACTTATATGTCTATAAAGAATTTCTAAACTTGAGAACTAGTGGAACTCTGGGTTGAATTCTGCAGAATGGGAGTGATACAACTTTTTTTTTTTTTTTTTTTTTTTTTTTGTATTTTTCCGGTACCAGGGATCAAACTCACGACCACACGCTTGCAAGGCAGGTGCTTATGCCGCTGAACTAAATCCCCAGGCCCAGTGATACAACTTTTAACTATGTATGTTCCACTTGTAATATATAAACCTAAACATACTTTTTTCAATATTTGAGATGTGCCTCTGTTCATTATTTCCTACACTAAATAATGAGTTTTTGCATTTTACATCTGAAAATTTATTTTGCGTAGAGTTAACGTTTGCTTCTGTTTTCCACTTACTCTAGTTCTCTATAATATCTCAAAAAAATATCAAAAAGTAGTAGAAAAGCAGGGGGTGTCCAGATGAAAAATTCTTAGGACTTTAACACCAGTCTACAAAAGTCAAGCTCATGTACATAATACATGCTTACCATATCTCAAAACCTTATATCCTAAGAAATCACATATCCAACTGTAATTCTATTAAAATCTGCCTCTTATGGGTTATGTAATTTCTTGGTTTTCAAGTGTTAAAAACAACATATGCATGCATACCCATGTTTATAGCAGCACAATTCATCGCAGCTAAATTTTGGAAACAGCCTACATATCCATCAACAGATGAATGGATAAAGAAAAATGTGATATTTACACAGTGGAATATTATTCTGCCATCAAGAAAGATAAATTTGGGGCTGGGGATTTAGCTCAGCGGCATAAGTGCCTGTGTTGCAAGCAGGCAGTCATGAGTTCAATCCCCGGTACCGGTAAAAAGGAAAAAGACAAAAAAAAAAAAAAAGAAAAGAAAGATAAATTTGAGTCATTTATAGGAACATGAATGCACCTAAAGGCCGATAATGTTAAGTGAAATATATAATACACACAAATTAAATATCACATGGTTACTCTTATATGAAAACCTAACATATAAATAAAGAGCAAAACAAAAGATAAGTAAAAGAAATTAGGAAAATAGATTTTTTTCCAAATAGAAAGCAAATCAAGAGATGGAGGGAGGGCAAAAGAGAAGAAAGAGATAGAAAAAGGAATTAAGATGTGTTATGTACATGTACCAATTCTATACAAGGGATATAAACATCATATACTCCCAAATATGTACTAATAAAAATGTAAATAAACAAGAAAATATAAAAGTAAGGCATCTAGAAGCAGAAACAGGACAATGATTAATAATAATAATAAAAACAATAAGCCTCATTTATTGAAGGCCTGTATCAATAAATACATATTTTTTCTCACCCTTAAGGCAATTCTACTAGATAGAAGTTCTAATCTTCATTTTACTACTGAAAGAACGCAGGATAAAGTTACTAACCACAGCTAGTGAGTCACGTTTATCTACACAAAGCCAAACTTTTCCCGTTATCATTCTTCATATCCTGAGCATCAGTTTAGCATGTATGCAAGTTCTGACTTCCTTGATACTGTCACTAGCTTATCCAGAATAAATCCAAAAGTTGAGCAATCTTACTGCTAGAAGAACAGCTGTCACCTTAACAAAGTCCAAGTATTTTCAGAGATACAAGCCCAAATATTTCGATGTTCAATAAATTAATGCTTAATTAAATTTACATTGATCATATAAAAGATGAGCATTATATTTAAATTCAACATAAACTTATCATGCATATTTCTGAAGAGTAACTTTGCGAAACAGAAAAGAAACACCATATACATGTATGTGAATATTTTACTCACAATGAACTAAAAGGTCTAGCAAATTAAATTTGTATTCATCAAATATGAAGTTCACAAACATCTAAGGACTCAACCAAAAGAAGTAAGTTAAGTCTTTCTATATTATCAGAAAATTACAAAGAATATAGTGTATCTTTTAAAGAATAACTAGCAGCACTTCATTAGCCAATTTTCAAGGCTTTTATTTTAATGTTATTAAAACATGCTTCCTCTAAAGAAAAATCTAAAGATTATTCCACAAACAAAGGGATAAACAGTTACTTCTGATGATGATACCTGCCTAATTCACCACCTACAAGAAATAAAATTATCTTGGAATACAGAATCATTATGGCTCACAGCCATAATTTAGCCAGTATTTCCAAAGTAGCTGCTAGCCCTATATGGGAATTTTCCCTTCATAATTCTGTTCCAGGTACCAAAAGATGGCTGTAAGTAGGCATCTTTCTCCCTGGAGAATCTATTCTTTAATTGCTAATATTAAAAAATCAAAAGTAACTTCATGAATCCTGATAATGCTGTTAACAGTGTCTAGATACTGTACTTTACTCTTTCTTAGATAGTTTAAAATAACAGGGAAAGAGGTGTTTTTCTCTCTTTAAAAATATATAAAGAACAGAGTGGGAGATTTGGGTTGTACTAGGAGTACTTTTTCCTCATGTTACTCATGGCCCTTGGCCAATTTCTGAATGTATAAGAATTAAATCTTTCAACAAACATAAGGCTTGTCTGTGTGACTTCTTTTATAGAATAAAGGCTTTACAACACCCTCTTTCATGAGCTTCTTCTACTAAACACTGTTGAATGCTTTCTGAAACAAAGGTCAATGATATAAATGCAATGAAAAAAAGGCCTATTAACAGACTACTTATGCTTATTTATAAATTTGAAATAAAGAGCTCAAGATCCACAGCTTCATATTTGGAGAATAAGAGCGCAGAAAAGGATTTTCAATAGAA